AACTCCCAGAATTCCCCAGCCAGCGAATGCTGGCTGGGGAATTCTGGGAGTTGAAGTCCGGATATCTTCAAGTGGCCAAGGTTGAGAAACACTGTCTTAGACAGAGCTAGAATTTTTCCAACACCAATACCTGTGTTTCCCTTGAAAAAAAGACCGGGTCTTATATTAATTTTTGCTCCCGAAAGAACTCATTAGGGCTTACTTTCCGTTAGGTCTTATTTTCGGGGAAACACTATGATACGTTTAACTTGGAGTTTGAGGAATTAATCGAGGGAATGCCAGCAACGTCATGCTCCATTGTCCCAAAGATGCTTCCCCCCCCCCCCCCCAGAGGACTTTCTCTGTTTTTTCCTTGCAGGTGTTTCGCTTCTCAACCAAGAAGCTTCTTCTGTTCTTTGGCATCTTGGATGAGAAGCGAAACCTCTTCGAGGAAAAGCCGAGAGAATCCGCTTCCCTCTCGGTTCTCTCTGGGGAAACCGCGACTTGAACGACTGGGAGCCTCCGCAGATTTCATGCTCCATTCATGCTCCATTCATACAGGCCGCCCGTCTAATTGCTGCACAGTGATTTTGTGGGTTAAAAAGATTTGCACCGCTCAAACTTGCCTTGGATTTGGTGAAGTCGCTGAGTGGTAAGGACTCCTCCGAGAGGCGTTCGGCAGTGGCTGCCTGAGCCAGTGGACAGACTCTTGGGAGAAAGGCAGCCGCAAATCTGTGTGGGAAGAGAAGCCGTCTCAGAGCAAGTTTTCAGGCGAAGCTTCCCCACAAACGGAGGGGGCCACGTGACCAGCAGCCGCTAACCTGCAGTTCTTCTGTGCGCGAGAGAGAAACCTGGCGGAGATGCTCAGGCGAGGATTCGGGAGTGGGCTCTCCCCGTCCTCACTGTCTTCGAGCGACTGTCGATCTCTGATACAGCCGTCAAATCTTTCTGGACACAAACAGGAAGGGCAGAGAATTTGTCCGAGGGACAAGAGAAGACAATATTTGTAGNGCACGGCCAGCTGTCTAGCCCCAGGCGAAGCAAGGACTTCCTTGCCTCTCTCCCCGCAGTGGCGTTAAAATAAAGACAACCCCAAAGGGACAGAGGTGGGGAGAGGAGGAGGGTGTGGTCAAGATGGCCGTGAGGTTAAAAAAGCTCTACTTTTTTCAACATGTGTTGCCATGATTTAATTGTTCGATCACACCTTAGTGACAGGGATGATAAAAGTAGTATCTTAGAATATAACACAGAAATGTCCAACCTTGGTCCCTTTCAGACTTGTGGACTTCAACTCCCAGAATTCCCCAGCCAGCACTGGGGAATTCTGGGAGTTTTAAATCCACAAGTCTTAAAGGGACCAAGGTTGGACACCTCTGATGTAGCGCAAAGCCCATTAGAAACTCGGCACATCCATCCACGTAAAACCCCATCTTTCTTCCTTTTTGTAAAACGCACCCACCCTTACCTTATCGTACAGTTGCAAAGTCTCTTGAAATTTGAGGTGTAGGGTCTGCAGGCACCCCTCAAAACTTCTGACGAGACCCTGAATTTCTGAGAAGAGAGAGGAAAAAATACTAATAACAACAACAACAAGCATTTCTCTCTTTGGAGAAGAAAGAAAGAGACAAAAATCCAGCCGACTGGAAGGCCCCCGGCTGCGTTCTTTCCAAGGGGGACAGGTCAACAGCTCCAACTGATCGTGTCGGCTGGCTGTTCCTTTCCAGGGCATCTGCAAGGGACAGTTATCAAGCCCGTTTTATCCCAAGAAAAGGAAAGGAGAGATGCTCCAGCTACCTATCTGCTTGTTTGGTCAACATTCTTACCTGAAACACCGGCGGTTTTGGCATCGAGGCTTCCTTTCAGCTCCGGCTGGATTTCTGGGGGAGGTTTCTAAAAAATCACGTATTCCACAGAGGTTAGATCAGTGTTTCTCAACCTTGGCCACTTGAAGATGTCCGGACTTCAACTCCCAGAATTCCCCAGCAGTGGTTAGGACAGTGTTT